ATACTTACCTTCGATTCCTTTTCTTTATGCTTATTGTAAGAGCTTGAATTTCGAGAGAATTGTCTGTTGCCTACAATTAATGGTAAGTAAAATCTGATAAAGAATAAATACTCAAAAAAAAAAAAGAGAATTACCGTAAAGAAAGCATAATTATTAAACTTACATGGTTTTTCTCGTATTATTTTGCGAACCAATAAAATTAAATTTAGTCGTCAGTGTTATTTTACTATGAGCTTTACTGTTAATGGTAAATATTCTTGGTTTGATTTGTTGCAAGGAAGAACTTCGGGTACAATTTAAACTAAACGTGAAAATTGCTCGTCGAATATTTATTCTCGAAGTGAAAATTGACATGATTTTAATTATGGAAGAGTTGATTTAGATGAGGCTTATTGCAATTAGAAGTCGGATTTTTGATCGCCAAATCCTAAACGTGATCAAATTAAAAAATTGAGTACGAATTTTTCCGGCTTATCAATAAATTTTTTTTGACACATTTTTTGTAAAATGATATGCCGAAAACTTATTAATAACGTATTTATTAAATCAAGCCAGAAGAATTTTTTGTTGTTGAAGGAAATTTTGTTCAATAAATTGAACGCATGTGGTCCAGGTTTATAACGTTTAGTTGAAATATTTAAACCAGGTTCTAAAAACGCGTTTTTAAAAATTTAATATGGCTCATCACTTTGGGTCACTGATCAGGTCACACATCGCACGATGCGCAGTGTTATGTGTTACCATGCTGGTAACCTTAAATATCCAAAAAGCTATTTTTCCAAAAAAGAAAAATCAAAGTACTCGAACATATTTCAACTTGTATTAAAGGTCAAAGATTGATAAATCTCGAAGAGGATGTCTATTATAGCAGTTTTTTTCTTTTTAAATGGTTGTTCTGAATTTATTGTAGCACATTTATTGATATCCATTGATATCGCAGGTTTTTTTTTTCTTAAGAATTAAAGTTTGATGTTAAGGAAACTGAAAATGGAACAAAGCAGCAAATAATAAAGCTAAATGAAATTACTTACAAGACATATTCTACAAAAAAAAAAAAAAGAAATCATCCCAATTCCCAATTCCCAATACTCAATTACATTAATGATATGACTAATTTTAGAAGGTATTCCAATTAATCAAGAAGGTAATTTCACAATCACATCTATATCTATGACCTGTACTAAACGCAGTGTACAATAACAATAAAGAAACTATCAAAGGTCAAAGCTCCTCTAATGAATTGTTGATCGATAACTAATCATTAATAATGCACGGACCTGAAAAAAAAAATTTAATTACAACAAAGAGGTTATTAAACAGGTGATGACTATCATATTTAAAATTGTTGTAAAGAGGCAAATAGACGTAGGCCTCCAGCAGGTATCTTTTCGGTTGGTATCGTCCAGTGATGTGAAAGGTGGTGGTAATTTGAATATTATACCATCAAGAAGGCCATTAAGACCATCGAATGTTTTCCCGTATTTAGAGGATTTTTTATGCGTCTATAGAAAATAAATCAATCGTTGATCACGATGCACTTTCGTGAATTATGCTACTAGATCTTCTGTGAACAAGCGATAGATCAATCTCATAATAATTTGAATATAAAAGATATAAAAGGACATATTTTGGAAATCGCTTGGGGAAGTGCTGGACCCAAGTCTAAAGTGCAAGCTGAAACTTTTCAAATATTGTTCTTTCCCGCTTGAATCCAAGCACCTCCTGACGAAGCATCGCCTGATTTTCTTTACCAAGTAAAGAAAAAAATTTCCTTTTCCTTTTCCTTTTTTTTTTTTTTTTAAAAAAAAACAACTTTATTATAACAGGCACGTTATAGATCAACTTTTCAAGGTTCATCAACAAAGAGTTAAACATATAATTCAGAGAATCGATAAATGCAAGTTAGACTTTTATTATAATATTTCAAATTTATGGTTTAAAGCTACGTAATTTTTAGTTCCGTTTTATGGTATTTTCAAATGTTGTAATTAATCGTAGGACTATATATTTCTACGCAGTATGACTCAAAATGTCCGGTCCCCGTTCCCTAGTATATATAATTTAGAAATGATATTTAAATTAAATCGAAACCGAAAAAAAAAAAACATTCGTTACAAAATTTAAAAAATAAATTTTTTTAAAAAAAAAAAAGATCAGCCGCAGAATGCCCGCCGTTCTCAGACGCGACCTATTAAAAGGGGAGCCCGCCGTTCTCAGAC